AACAGTATGTGTTCTAAAAGCTAAGAGTCATTTTCTCCAACGCATTAATGTTTGACAAGTGAAAGTGAAGAATGAGTTGCCAGAACAGTAAAACAGAAGAAACACCCGACGAACAACACAAGACCAGCAAAGACCCGAAACACAAACCCTTCCTTGACGTTTACGGCCCGCAGGGCTCAGGTTTGGAACTTTTCATGTTATATATATATATATGCGTTGTGTATTTACAAAGGTTCTACTATCATATATCATGAATGTGAATTCATTTGGCTTATATTATGAGTTTAATTCACTTGGGTCTCTTTAAAAGGTTCCAAAATTGTCAGATCACATTTTTTGGGGGTTTGTTGAGTAATTTGTAGTTCATGGATTTCTGGTTATTAATGCACTAGTTTACTGGTTTATGTAGAAAACCAGAAGGGAGAAAAGAGTGAAGGGAAAAAAAAACCTTTTTAGAGCTTGTGGGCTGAGTTTATTTAATTGGTTTGTATTGGCTGGAGTTTCAATTGTTTAAAAGAGGAATAGTTTTTTAAGAAAGCCTTTTTTAATTTTAAAAGAGGAATCTTGGTGAGAGAAATTGGGATCATTGCTAGTGAAAATTTAGTGCTATCAGTAGATATATTTTTGATTGTGGATTCAATTGAAATTGGTTATAAATGCATTAATTTTGGAAAATAACTAGTTCTGATAGAAACTCAAAATGGAGAAAAGAGACGAGGCTAAAAAGGTGAGAAAAGAAATAAAAGAACTATCTTTTGCGATTTGCAGATTGAGTTCGTTTAAGTGGGTTGTATTGTCTAGACCTTTTAAGTTGCTCGCCTGAAGAAGAAGAGGAATGTTGTGTGGAAAAATTAGTATATGTGTTATTGAAAATTTGGACCACCATTACATGCTATTCCTGTTGTGAGCATTATTCTCCGTTGGTTGGTAGTTATTTTGTTGTGTTTATTTTGGAGACACTGGTTGATATATGGTGATCAAGCTGACCTTTAGTGCTATTACATAGCCAAATTCTGTATGATAGATCATGATTTGCACTTAGAAAATTAATTTGAAGTATGTATATAATAGATATTGTAGTAGAATGTAAGAATTACTTGACTCTATTCAGCATTTGCACGTTTCAAATTCAGTTTAATTTTTTTATCAAAAGCCGCATTCAACACATAAGAACGTATAAGCCGCAAAGCACCAACAAGAAGAAATTTTTTCACCACAAGAAAATAACATAACCAAGTAATTGAAAACAACAAATCAGGTTCAACATCAAGTAAAGAGTGCTTCTCATAAATTACTCAAAAAAAGAAACTTACTACAGAGATTTGGAAGGCAACAACGGAGAGCAAGGCTTTGTTAGCTTTTCTTTCGAATCACTACAAGAAAGTAAGGATACAACGACATTTATTTAGTGACATTTGAAATAAATGTCGGAAAAAATAAATTTCTCAATATTTATGACAAAATATTGTAAAAATAACGACATTTGTGACAAAATATAATAAAAAAATGACATTTGATTCAAAATATTGTAAAAATAATGACATTTGATACAAAATGTCATTAAAAAGCGATATTTTGTATCAAGTGTCGTAAATAAAAAATATTTTATGGAAGATGTCATAAAAATAACAACATTTGATATAAAATGTCACAAAAATTATAATTTCTATTTTAAATGTCATACTATTAGTGGTTGTGATATGATTATTTAATATAAAGGGGGGACAAGATTTAATTTAAAGGGGAATCTTGCATTATTTTAAATGAAACATGGGGGACAAAATGAAATGGGGTGGTGTGATATGTTTATTTAATATAATGAGGATGAGTGGGAAGATAATGGGTTTGGTAGAGAAAATGGGTTGATTTTAATTGATTAAAAGATTTATGGGATGGGTTATAAGAAGTTTAAGCATAAAATTGTATATTTGGACATTAAATGCTAAAAATGCAAACGATGCCTATTTTTGTAATTTTTAATTTTTGTAAAACAAATTTAATTACTAACAATTGTAGAATTAAATCCTACATGCAAAATGCGACATATTTTTTGTATTTTTATTAATTTAACAAATAAACATGCACAGACAAATACAAATAATTATTCAAAATATCACAAAAATTGCAAACCAAGAAAAATTACTTTATTTTTGAATTTTTTGGGAGTAATTCTCATATTGGGCAAAAATCACGTGCTTACAGTTGGTAATTACCGACATTTACATTAACGCCAAAAATTTCTCTATATTTTTTAATTGTAAATCATTCTTTGTCTAGAAGCAAAAAGAATATTCTTTTTATTTAATACATGTTTTCAAATATTGTGATAGTTACCACTAGGGCTGTTCAAACCGAACCAGAAAGTCGCATCAAATCGAAAAATCAAACCAAACCAATTAAAAAACCCGACTAGGTTTGGTTTGACTTGGTTTGGTATTGAGTAAAAAAATCTGAACCAAACCGACACATAAATATATAATTTATATATATAGTTTTAAGACTTTATATTGAATTTGCCTTAAAAAATATTAAATTTTTGGGATCCTCTCATGTGTTAACCTAGAAAGTGTACATTAACGAAAATTATTGTTAGACGACTAAGAAAATAACTATCATGTATTACTAAAAAAATTCTGCCATTAGAATATTTTAATAGGTCATATGTTTGTTATTTTTTTCAATATTTACTAAACATATATTCATTTATCATAACTTTATCTATAACTTTAAGGCAAAATACCTTAAATCACCCCTAAACTTGGCTCAGATTATTAGTATCCTCCCCGAACTATGCCCGGTCTTAATTACCTCCCTCAACTTGGCCTTTTGAGAGTCATTACCCCCTAGACGCTGATGTGGCAAAAAGTATGAGTGCACTCATCCACCATATGGATTTTTCTATCTATGTGGCATTTTTTTGAAAAATAAAATATTTTTTTACCTTTTTAAGAATATTACTTTTTGGATAAATTTTTTTGAATACAATCTATAATAAAACTCGAATAGAACTACATTATTTAGGACAAATATTTTTATTTGGCCAAAAATAATAAAGTTTTAGTTATTTTTTTTTGAATTTGACCTGAAAATAAAGGTTTATACAATTGAAATAAATAGTCAAGACATCTAAAAAGTTATAAAAAATACATAGTTTGAAATTAATTATTTTGGCTATAATTTTTTATATAGCTCTAAATTACGGTGCTCTAATTTTTTTTTTACGATTTTACCTAAAAAAGTAAAAATACACAGTTGAAATAAATAATCATTGCATCAAAGAAGAAATAAAAAGAGCGTATAATTGCACTTATAATTTCTTGCAATTGTACACTCTTTTTATTTCTTCTTTTAATGTAATGACTATTTCAACTATGTATTTTTTTATAATTTTTAGACGCCTTGAATATTTATTTTAATTGTTTAAATCTTTATTTTCAGGTGAAATTCAAAAAACGATTAACTAAAAGTTTATTATTTTTTACCAAATAAAAATATTGAGCCTAAATAATGTAGTTCTATCCAAGTTTTATTACAAATTGTATTCGAAAAAATGTATCTAAAAAGTAATATTCTTAAAAAGGTAAAACATATTTTATTTTAAAAAAAATACCACATAGACAGAAAAATCCACGTGGCGGGTGAGTGCACCCATACTTTTTGCCACATCAACGTCTAGGAGGGTAATGGCTCTCAAAAGACCAAGTTGAGGGGGGTAATTAAGACCGAGCATAGTTCGGGGGATGATACTAATAACTGAGCCAAGTTTAGGGGTGATTTAGTGTATTTTTGCCTAACTTTAACAAAGTAAGATCGGAATAATATCCATGTAACAAAAAAAAATTGAAAACCCGAAAAACCCGACAAAATCGAACCAATCCAAACCGATATAATTGGTTTGATTTGATTTTGATAAAAATCGAACCAACTCCGTCCATGTACACCCCTAGTTACCACAGAACAGACGCGTTCTCTTATTGTTTAATCAATGTTTTAAAAGGCTTACTCGCCAGTCACTGGGCGAGGCACTTGTAAAATGACATGAGGCTCATATGAGGGGTTTAGTTTTACGAGGCTTATGCCCCAAGTGCTCGATTATGCCCAATCGTTTAGTGCTTGGGACACGCCCAATAGTTTATATGAAAATTCATGTGTTAAATTTCCTAATTACTATTGTTGGCTCTCAAAATATTTTAACAAATGAATGATAAAAGTGCAATTCATATATAGATATTTAAAAATTGAGACTTACTTAAATAACGAAGCCATAGTACTGCATATTTACTAAGCGAGAACATCATAGGAGTGAATATTATTGGAACACTTCTTTGAAAATATACATATCATCCAAAATTTATATCTTCACTTGTAATTGGTCTCTATTTCTTAGTTTTATATATCTCAGAATTATTAGGCTTTTATTATTTTATAACTTAAAAATAAATTTGTATTTATTTATGAAGGAGTAATATTTTAAATTATTGTAATACAATTTATTGATTATCATGTACTTCTAGGGAGGTAATTAAATGTCTTGTTGATAATAACTTAAAAGTAATAATTAGTTTTTTTTATTTAAAAGTTATGACATCATAGTTGATTTGTATCTCATAATAATTAACACTATTGCATTATATATATTTGTAAAAGTATGTTAGATATTTTATTTTGTATGCGTTTTTTTTAATCTTTTTAATTTTATTAAGCTTTTAATGTACTTTCTATTGTTCGTATTATTATACTATTTTATAAATTAAAAAATTAAAATATTTATGTTTAGTCAATAATATTTCTAGTACTTGTTAAATCTTGAGTTGAAAAATATAAAGTATACAAATGAAAAGAATATATAAATCGAGACCATATTTATAATTTACGATAGTTGCTAAGCCGAGATACTCCAGGCTCCATTGCGTCGAGTTTCAGACGACTTGACGGGTTTTGAAGAAGATCTTTTTTCTTCTTAAGGCTAAGTTCCAGGTATGATGTTCTTCTTCTCTGCTCTGAATAGCCACCATTTTTCTTCTTCTTCTTTCTCTGCTAATTTGTCTAAATTTCGCTATCAACCTATTTCGACCAAAACCCATCGTCGAAGCCTTCAGTCGAAGGGGTTCTTAGCCCTTAGGGTAGAGTCGAAGGACCCATGCCTTAACAGTGTCCTTAGTTTCGTCAAACGCCGATTTGACCTATGAATTTTAATATTCATCGTTGCGAGTCCTTTTGGGTGTTAGTGTTGTGTTTATAGTTGTTTTTCACATCTTACTCGGCCCATCCCTGCATTGGTTTTAGTGTTGTGTTTGTAGCTGTTTGCTCCGTTTAGGTGTTTTCGGGTAGTACTGTTAACTCTTTGCTTCTTCTTGTTTTCCGTTAGTTATATCCATTCAATTATCTTCCTCACTTCCCTTCCTTCAAGGGTATTCTTTCCGTAATATTACCTATTATCTTTCTTGCAGCTTTCACTTTTTAAAGGATTTTTACCAAGATGTCTATGCTAACAAGTGGTGACGCGGAGGGTCTTCCTGTCGCCTTTGTTGGTTTCCAGCAAAATCTTTCATCAATAGTTGAAGGTCTTGAGTCTCAGGAGGAGGAGAAGAAGATGTGGGCAATCCAAAAACTCCGAATATTGTTCAATGACGGTATGGCTAAGACTGCTCCAGCTTCGCTTATGCTGATTTTATTAAACTCGCATATCACTTACTTTCAAATTTTTATTAACAGATGCCACTTTTCTAGTACATGCTCTAGAGTCTGGTATAGTTGTTCCTCTACTTGACGAAATTCTACGGGGAGAGGATTCATTTGCTCTCAAGGTAGACAGTGATGTGTTGATCACCTTTTTGTGCCTTCTTTGGTGTCTTCTGGTTGTATATTCACACTTGCTTTATTCTTATGGTTTTGCGGTCATAGCTTGAAGCTGCTAACGCTGTCATGGACAGTATTCCTGATATGATGAAGTTAGATGATTTGGTGATTGATAGTAAGTTGGTGGAACTTCTTTTAAAGCTTCTGCATTTTCCAGCTGAAAATGTTTGTGAGCAGGTATGTTTTAAAATTGGCATACCCCTCTTCTATATAGGTTTGAAGATATGCTTATTAGCAGACTGATTGTTTTTTCCTTCCAACTATAGGCGATGGAGAAACTGAGAATCGTTGCTCTCTCCCCTGTAGGTCGTGGTTATGTTCTTACGTGCATGGCTTTGGATAATTTACTGCATATTTTGACCTATTGCAACATTTTATTGCTGAGAAAAGCCACGCAGACTATATCAGTGCTTTCTAGAGGCACACCAAAAGTGCCTTCTGTGAAGGTCTGTTAATTACTGTTGAAATTTTTCTGCGTCTGCAATTATTTGGTGCAAAACAATACTGATTACAATTCAATTGTCAGGTGAAACCAGCAATCCAAGCTCTTTGTTTACTTGTTACTTCAAATGATGATCGAGAGGTGCTAAGAAACGCATGCTGGGCACTTTATTACCTCTCTGGTGGTATTGATGAGGACTTAGAGGCATATTGCAATAGCAAAAGTAGCATCAGTCATTCTGTTGTGAGCCAGAGTGATATTGTTAGTGGCCTCTTTGAGATTCCGGTGCTGCTTAAGCTCTTAGAGTGAGTGGAGTGTTTTCATTTTCCTCATTTAGCCTACTTTTTCATAGCTACCTTACTACGATTGTATCTGATATATACGTCATTCGATCTTTCAGAGATCCCTCTCCTTCTGTAATCGCCCCTGCCATCCGTATCCTTTCAAGTATTTGCCGAGGAGATGACGGCCAGAAAGAGGTATGCGGCTTTTGTGGTTGAACCCAAACACTTTGATGAACTAATCAATGAAAAAAAGGATCAAATTAAGATAAGATAAAATGATTGAAAGGTAGAAACATCTTAAACAACATGTAGTGAGATTATAATTCAGCATGTTCCTGATTCAATGTCAAATTTGATGTGTTTACTGCTTAATTTATAATAGCCTCTGAAGAACCCACCCATTTGGTAGAGCTACCCACCATTTGATTTGTATATTTGTAAATAGGTTCTTTGCCATCTTCAAGTCATGGGCAAGTCCACCTTCCAGCTCCAACACTGGCCATCTGGGCTGCATTTTTTTTGGCTACATTAAGTTTTATTTTTTTCTAATTGGTATTCACTAACTTAGCCTTTTTAGATCTTGATTTGATCTTGGGACAAAATATCTATGCATGTAAGTTGGTAATAAGAAACATGTCCTTGATTAAAAGAAAAAAAAAGAAAGAAAGAAAAACTTGGAGTTGTCTGGATTTAGGTTGAAAAGCATCTTCAGCACTCAAAGATGTGCTTGTGAACTTCCAAACTAAATATCTCTACGCATTGTCCATTTTAAGCCCAAAATGATGAAAAACATATCCTACAATTGAGCAGTGATTTTGCAATGTAGAAATAGGTTGTTTGTGTCCTCGGGTTGCTCTTCACATAGAGAGCATTTGCTGTCAGTGGGCATTCTTCTTCCTTGCAAATTAGACTGTGAAAAACATGCTTTTTTCCCTACTAACCAAGTGAAGATCTGAATTTTGTAAGGAACTGATGAAAGCCCGTAGCATTTATGGCCGTGACGTCCTTCATTGCCTGTCGGACTTGCTAGATAGAGGAAAAGAGGAAAGGTTGGTATGCCTGTGTATAGCATATATTACTCTTGGGAGCAGTCAACGGGCAAAGGTATGTCGACTAAATTGATATTTTGCTTTAACGTAATTTTTTTTTAAATTTCTTTGTCCATATATTTGTTATTCATTCTTATAATTATTAGTCTTGGACTACATATACATATTTTTACTTTTTCTTCAGATGCGCCTTTTTTCGTTAAAGCTCACGCTTTAGTTGTGCTTAAAGCCCCAAATGACCTTAAAGCTTTTTTGCGCTTTTCGTCTTTGATAACGCTGACTGAAATCCATTGCCTGTTTGTGTTGGTGTTCTACAAGTTTTCATTTTTAAAGTGCCCATTTTCAGAGTTTGCTATTTTTTTTGGTTATAAAGATTGATTCTTTCTATGCTTAAAGATTTGTTTTTTATTGGCACTCTTTCTTTTTCTGCTCTAGTTTAGATGTGTCAAGGCATTGTCTAGCGAAACTCTTATTAACCATAAAATCTTTCCATATTTTACTGCTAAGTGGATGTCATTGAGCTGATACTGTGAATGTTGCTTAGCTAGAAGAAAAAACTAGTAGAATTAAGCATGGCGTTAAGAAACAATCATCAATGGATCAGAATTAACTCGCATCCAAATGGAAGAAGACAGGAGGGCTGGTATATGGTTGTGAGGGAAGAGTTCTAATTGTTTCTTCTTCGTATAATTGGGTCTTTTTAAAAATGTTCTAGCGGTAATACCCAAACTGCCGTTACCAGTAGTAGACATTTTGTTTGGACTGTTAGTCTCCGTTAGTAAACCAAATATAAGCGGTCATTTTGTTTTCTTAAAGGTTAAATGTGCTAACCAAATAACACAGGGACCACAACTGGAATTAGGCAATAATACAGGGACAAAAGCTGCTATTTCCCTGAAAAGAAATGAAAATGTTAGGGGGTAAATCATAAAAAATAAAAGGATAAGGGTGTAAATAAAAAAATAGTGTTACATTAGGGATGCAAAATAGAAAGAACTCTCAAGTAGCTGGATATGAGAGTGAAATAGTTGGTGTAGTAGTTGGAAATAGAAATTGGATTTTTGAGTTGTGGATATGTTTTGTCATAGCCCCCACCCCACCCCCAATTTTTTTTCTTTTAATGATCGACTTTTCAATTGATGAAACCTTCTCTACGTAGCCATTTATCTAAATAGTTGTCTGTAATTTTTGAGCAGGCTGTAGCTGATGCTGCTTGATTAATGGAATCCGGAACCAAAATGTGGTTTCTTTTTTACTCAAAATACGCAAATAAGTGTTAAAAAAAAGTTACCAAATTATATATAATGCCACAAATAGTGGCGCTATACAGTAACGTTAACTGCACCGTTACTGTATAGTGGCGCTATACATAGTAAAGCTGACACACCTTACATAGCGCCATCAATAGTGGCGCTATACCCTTTATTACCATCACACATAGCGCCACTATTAATGGCGCTATACCCCTTAATACAAATCCTCCCGTCTTCTTCTTCTTCGTTTCATCTCCCTCATTTCTTACTCCCTTCTGGTCCCCCCCCTCCCCGATTCTGCCCCAATTTAAATTTTTTTTTTGGGTCCCCCCGGNAAATTTTATCCGGATTTAATTTTAGTGTTGTATAAAAATATGTAAATTAGTCTAAAAAATGTGTGTGTTAATATCGTCATGTATATTTATGTGTTTTTATGCCGTTTAGTTTAGATTATTTTTAGCGTAGTAAATGTAGACCTTTTTAGCGTAGTAAAACATAGACCCTTTTAGCGTAGTAAAATTTAGAGCCT